TGTGTAGATTTAAGGATGGTTTAAGATGTAAGTAATGGCTTAACAGTGTATTTATTAATGTAATTAAACAAATTCATTACAGATATAAATACATGCAGATGAATTAAAATACAAGTGCATTTTACATACAATATAAAATCATGTATATGCATTAAGTGCATTGTACCAAATGAATAATTTAAGCATTAGTACATAGTAATTAAGGCCACTTAATATAAAGCAGGCTTAATTACTAGTTGCCTGATTGATTCAATTAAATAATTAAATTACAGTTCTGAACAATTAATGAATATCATCTGACACCAACTTGCAGCTTTTGGCATAGGATCAATAAATATTTCAATGTAAAGCTATACCTTATGGTTCATCCAAAATGCATTTCCATGCTCTTTAAAACGTAACCTTGCATTAGATCAAGCTTTTTTTTTTATCAGGATGCAGAGCTGCGGATTGCTCTGTAAGTAATGAGATCAGAGCTTTCACCATGTCTCAACAGCTTCACAGTTCTAAAGAGATACTGTGGTGGGCTTCTGTACAGAATAATCTTTATCCAGCACTATTCTCGGGATCTCTACCCAGTAACATTAGACAAATGTACACAGGCACCTTGGCTTTAGGCATGCAGATCTCATCACACAAACACTCAGCGTTGAGTTCACAGAGATGCTTTCTTTAGACCTTCACGCCTTTTTGACACCGCAGCTCTAGCTGCATGTGTCAGTCTGTCTGCATGGGATGCTTTGGTCTGCATGATTGTGAAGATGATATTCTCTAATTTAAAGATGATATAGTACACCAATTTTCTTAAGATGTTAAACATGTCCACTTATAGTAAAGTAGTGAAGTTGCACTACACGCTCGTGTTTTTAAAATTTTTTAGTACGTTAATTAGTTAATATTACTCAGAAGGTCATGATTCACACTCATTATATAATTACTCTCCATAGCTTTATTTTACATTCTTAAAGATACAAAACACAGATGTTTCCGCACAATGCCTTCCAAAGTGCGTGACACAATCCTCTCACTCCACCTTTTTAAACCCACAGTCAATCACATTACGTTATTAGTTAGACAACCACTAAATTAGTTAAAAACAATCTCATTTTTGTTTCAATAAACTGTAATTGACCACACAATAAATATTTTCCTTCATATTTAAAAGCATTGTCTCTATTCCACAGGAAAATAACATATCAATTATCATCATTCACTTATTCATGTCTACGTCAATGCATTTAAATTCCAACAGTCTTACTTTTGGTAAGCCTTTTTTGTAAACATGTTCCGCAGTTTATTAATTCCCTGTGACGTAGGAGGGTAAATCTAATCATAATATTCCCGCCTCTTAATCTGCATATTTCCACCCACAATGCTGCTGTGCCATTAGAATGTCTGTGCCATAAAAGAAACTATACAAATGTTCTGATTGGATGTGATAAGGGAGATAAGATGAGAGAGTTGCACTTGTCTTCTTATGTTAATTTGCTAAGGCTAGTACATACAGTAGAAACAGAGCAGTGACATGTTAGTACATACTGTACAGGTACTGTAAGGATATTCTTAGCTACTCTTATTTCTGACATTTTGGCTGCATGAAATTAGCTTGTTTTTTAGTTTCTGGAGTGTCAGAATATCATGTGGCTCTGTCCTCTTCTGGGAATCAGTTGCTCATTTGTTTTTAAAGGGGCAAAGCACCCAAATAGTGGCAAATTTGACAAGATCCATAAGGTACTACGAGTGTACACCACTCAATAGTTAAAAACAATCTTATTTTGATTTTCATTTTACTTATTTTCACTGTAATTAATCACACAAGAAATATTTTTAATCACCTGTAAAAGCATGATCTCAAATGCACAGGAAAATAACATTTCAAATATTATCATTCAGTTATTCATGTCTACCCCTATGCAATGAAATTCCGACAGTCCAAAACATTAAAAAGACATTTTCATCTCATTATTTGTATCATTATATCCCAATTAATGATTCACAATATTATAAATAAGCAACAAACCATTAAAGAAACACAGAAAGATCAAATTCCTAATTTATTTCTCTTGGTGTAAATGATTTTAATAATCTTTTATTCAGGATACCTGCTCTTTGTGTCACAAATACTTCCTCAATTCCTATGCATTAGTTGTTTAACGTCATGTCAGAAATCTATAAAGTGTCTCGGTATTGCAGAAGTTATATCTTGTCGTTATATTCTTGATTTATGTTCATTAATTTGCAACTTTAACTGATGTGAGGACTTTCGTATATATCTTTTAGAACAGATATTATAACATATAGACCACATTACAAGTAGAGCAGGTAATGCAGGTTTTAATTTAAATAGTTTTACCTGTTACCAGATTCAAAAATCCCTTAGACTTGACTAAATTCTAACTTGCGGCACAATATCTGCACGGAAATTAACCTTGTATTAAAGTGGATTTCTTATTTCTTACTGTATCTGAGTTAATCGTATCTGCTAAATTTTGAGATCTTTAAGATTTGGCATTTATAAGTTAAAATTACTTACACCAAGAGGAATGAATCTTCCATGTTTCTTTAATGGTTTGTTGTTTTTTGATAATATTGGGAATCATAGATTTTGAGTATGTAATGATACAGATAATAAGATGACAATGCATTTTTAATGTATTGGACTGTCAGAATTTCATTGCATTGATGTAGACATGAATAAGTGAATGATGATAATTGAAATGTTATTTTCCTGTGATAATGCATTTAGAGGTGAAGGAAATTTTTTTGTGTGTGGTTAATTACAGTGTACTGAAACTAAAATGAGATTATTTTTAATAGTACCCCACAGATCTTGTCAAATTTGCCCCTATTTGGGTGTTTTGTCCCTTTAAATAAACGAGCAACTGATTTCCAGAAGAGGACAGAGCCACATGATATTCTGACACTCCAGAAATAATAAAACAAGTGAATTTCATGCAGCCAAAATGTCAGAACAATAGCTTAGAACATGCTTGTACAGTACAGTAACTCTTTTATCTTCCTTATCACATCCAATCTTTTCTGGCACAGACATTGGAATGGCACAGCATTGTGGGTGGAAATATGCAGATTAAGAGGTGGTAATATGATTAAATTTCCCATCCTACATCACTAGGGGAGCAAATAAACATGTTTACAAAAAAAGGCTTACCAAAATGTTGCCAAAATTCCTGGTTTGGCAGATGCATAGGGTCCTGATTAGCACTTAAACGTGGGAAAAATCAGTTTTTACTATATGACCCCTTTAATGTAGTTTTATAGACAGCACACACTTAGTTCATAAACTTTGAGAGTGAGCCATAAAGCCTGCATTAAATATGAATGATGAGGTATTAATGTTTAGTAACTTCAGAAAGAGGTTCATTTGCCTCTAGAGCTGCTTCTGATAGACTTCTTAATTCTGAGAAGCATTGGAAGATTTATTTTTAATGTGTGCTTCTTCAAAATGATATTGCTATTAAACTCAATATAAAAGTGAAATCAAATTGATTTATTGATAAATTGAGACCAATGCATTACTGTAAGTTGAGGTCAGTGGTGAGTCTACTTTACCTGGTGTGCTCTTTCCCCAGTTATTCACAGTATTGAAATGAATGTGCACAGATAAAGAGATAAAGAGAGAGACGGATACAAATTTATCCTGGCTTTCACTTTACCACCATTACATCATCCGATACACACAAAATCACACATTATATCCTGTTCAAAAAAGATTAAAGACCTCAATTCTCTCTGTTCTGTAACAATTTAACATTCTGTCCCTGGGCCACAGTCAACTCATCAGAATTGACTAGAAACATCACAGGACATGTAACCTGATTTTTATAGTGAGCTCCAATTTCTACAATATGTAATACTTTAAGATAATGTAACAGTGAATATTTCTGTAAATACAGTTAAATGTGATATTCACAATACTTAAAAAGATTTAAAAATTCACATTTAAATATTTAAAAATATGATACAATAAGAGTCTTTTCTAACTGAAAAAAAACAACAACTTTAATCTCAAAATTGAATAATATGATTGTGGACAACGTGCTAAAATTCCTACTTTGTAAAATAGCATAATCCTTTTAACGGGTAATAAATCCAAAGCGTTACAATTGACCATCATCCGATAAGAACATAAGAACACAGGTTGGCCATTACCTCCACCGGCCACTGGACCACACTAATGAGCTGGTAATGACAAGGCTCTTAATTGTTATGTTAATCAATTAAGCCAAAGGATCTTGGCGCAGGATTTTGGGACACAAGCGCTCTTTGTTGTTAAGGAAGGTCACGCTAGATTGAGTTACGGGTAATCAGTTTCACTCTCTGCACAAACTCAATCCACACGCCAAATGCATCGGAATTAGGACAAAACTGACACAATTCTAGCACTTCTGATTACGCTTGTTGGGTCAACTATTACAACACATCACAATCACCCAGCAAAACATATTAAAAGGAAGCTGGAGCGTAATGCAGCACCATCTCGATGCGCAGCAGTGCTACTGTAAATGCCATGCTGCAAACTGAGAAGCATCAAAGAATAAAAGGAGAGAAAGTGTCAGCATGACAGATGTAGCTACATTCTGAGGTCATCAAACATAAACAGCAGCTTTTGCTTTACAAACAGTCTTCCTGTTAAAGCTTGCTATTTAATTCTCCAATCTCTATAACTTGATTCTGTAATGTGCTTTTAAGTTATGCATCTAAAATGCTCTCCATCACTAACATCTCTCTTTGAAATCTGACTCTTAAATGTTGTCCCTTTGGAATGCTTTGACTCAGATTCCAGAGACGGAGGAATTTAGATTTCTGAGTCAATAATACTGTTTTTTCTAGTCTACTTTTGTTTCTCATTTTTGCCTTTGAAATCTGCGTCTAAAATGCTGTTTCTTGCGTGTGTTTAAAAATCAGGCTCAAACTCTGCTTATTCCATCTGCGCTACTGTGATTCAGACAGTGTGTGACCGTAAAACATGCGTTTCTTACCCTGAGCAATAAACACGCATATGGAGTCATCCACCGCAGTTACACGCTAACACACCGCATGTAAGTCCATCAAAGTCAGAGAAGAGAGAGGGATGAGGTCTGAATCCAGACTGAAAGCGCACACCTGCTTCGCTCAGTTCTTGTCCGCTCAGCCGACTCCAGATAAACGCGTGAACGCGCATGGACTATGCCAGTGCGCGGCACCTCCCTTTCCTCTTGGGTCAGTGGCTCTCGTACGGAGCTAAAGAGCTATTGAAAAAGCATTGCGGTAAAACTGTCTCTTTACACATGACGAAACGCTTCTCCGTGTCAGCTCCGGGAGGAGGAGGAGATGAAAACACGTTCGTTTTGCATACTCAATCCGACGCGACGATTGCGCGCGAGAAAGCGAGGATGAGCACGTCGAGAACGCGAAGGGCAAGTGTTTAATAGAGACTTCATCCACACATCATCCAATCGTCGCTTGTTTCTCAGGGAAGAGGAGTACTTTATAGCACAGCCTATAGAGTGTGCGCGCTCATGTGTGAGATGGAGAGCAGCGCCGCGTATTGGTCCCTCGCAGGTTTTCAGTAGCCATGGCAACCAGTCAGAATACTTCAGTAATCAGTGCGCGGGCTCAGGGGAGATGCTCAGGTCACCTCTCTGGCATTCAAGGGCAAACATACCGCACTGAAAACTTCAAAATATCTTCAAGTTTGATGAAGTAAGTACAAAGCAAAAATGAAAGGCATCTCAGAATATTGGCTGCCCTTTCTTGCCATTTGACTTGAATGTGGATTTCATATTAAGAAATAATTACAAAGAACCAGATTTCATTCGGTGACTATGGGTAACAAGAGACTGCTAAACCTAGTCATCTTTATCATTATCCATTTATTGAATTTCTGTTAAAGTAGCCAGCACTATGCATGGTGTAACTTTTTCATCCATCATTTCTTCATGTAACTCTTTTTCAACTGAATGATTAGGGTAAAATACATTAGTTTTTTCTTATGGGAATCCTATTTGCTTCTTAAGGGCAGTGCTAAATGAATCAAAAACAAACAAACAAACAAACAAACAAACAAACAAACATTAATTTTCCTTCGGCTTAGTCCTTTATTTATCAGGGGTTGCCAATGCATATGTTTTACACAGCGGATGTCCTTCCGGCCGCAACCCAGTACTGGGAAATACCCACACACCCTCACATTCACACACACCCATACACTAAGGCCAGTTTTATTTACCCAATTTAAATAGCATGACTTTGTAATGGAGCACCCGGAGAAAAACATGCAAACTCCACAAAACAAACAAACAAACAAACAAACAAATAAATAAATAAATAAAAATGTAAACAATAAAAAGGTTGGAGCATTCATATTGTACTACCTGTTCTTAATACATTGTGTTTTGCGCATATATACATCTGTTCACTTTTTGTAATACTTGAGTACATTATTTGTCTCTGGAAAAAAAAGATTTTAGAATTAAAGAATGTTCAGGATATGGATGGTTTTTCTGAAGAATTAACAGGACAAAGACTCTCAACTATCACAAAAACAAAAATCGTTAATCACCCAGGTAACGAAATGCAATTAAAAAGCTAAAGTATGTACATTTTGAATGATAAATTCTATGTTTCTCTTTTGTGGTATGTATAGAAACTGCTGTTTTGTGCTAAAAACAACACTATTATTAAATAAATAACTTAATGGATATTGAAATGGATGATTGAATAGACAATTGGATATGAGAATCCCTTGAATCCAATAGTGCAGGCGAGAGTAATTTAAAGCGACTGATATGGTTAATTGCCAGTTGCCATTTACAATCAAATTAATACTGTTAGATTTCTGTTTAATATTAGCATATTAAAGCAAAATTCTGCTAGAGGATGGAGGATGGAAAAAGACAGTCATCCAGAATGCTGCTATCAAGATATTGACCAGAACCAGAAAATCAAAGCACATCACACTTGTCCCTAGGTCTTTACATTGGCTCCCAGTAACATTTAAAATAAATTTTTAAATATTATAACTTGTCTATAAATCACTAAATGGCCTAGGACCTCAATACATTACAGATATGCTCACTGAAAGATCACTCAGATCTTTAGGATCAAATAAAATTGAAACTCTTTTTTCAAGACTTTATTCAAAGCAGGGTAAATACTTATTCAGCTATTCTGCCCCCCGCTGCTGAAATCAGCTTCCAGAAATGATCAAATGTGCTCCAACATTAGGCAGATTCAAATCAAGGCTGAAAACATCTGTTTAGCTGTGCCTTTACTGAAAGAGCACTGTGCTACGTCCGACAGTCTTTATTTTATTATTTATTTATTTATTTATTTTTTAAACACATTTTAATCTGTTTTTATTTTATTTTTATCATTATCATTTTATCAATTTTTCTTTTTATTTCCTTGTTTCTTTTATTCCGGATTATGTAAAGCACTTTGAATTACCATTGTGTATGAAATGTGCTATATAAATAAACTTGTCTTGCCTTGCCTTGGAATGAAACAACCTGCATGCAACCTAATAAAGGAAACTACTGTTCAGAATTTTATTTTAGACAGAAACCTTACATCACAAACATGATGGTATGCTTAAATATTTGCATCCAAAAGTAAATAATAAAAGTATATAAATAAAAGCATTCATTGTGAGGTTACCACATAACAGGTTGTTTATGTACACAACATCTAGCAAAACAGCACAATGTCAGAAAATTACAGGTTTTACTATCCTTGTGTGCTCAAAATTGTGGCAAAAACTGACCCACACACATACACACACACACGCACAATAATATATTATTCAGAGGCAGCATGGTGGGTTTCCCTACAGATTGACCTACATATTAAAACACCAAGTCATACGGCACAGCTGCCCAAACCTACCAATCCAAGCAAACCTATGAAAAGCATAAACCGAATAAACTTAATAAAGCATTTAATATTTTACTACACTAACTAATAACACTTGTAATCTATTTATTACCCCTTAGAACCCTGGTGCATTATGAGGACTGATAGCAGTGGTAATACATAACTCAGAGCAGCTGTAAACTGGAATTCTGATAGCTTATCTTATCATGTATGCAAGATAATGTATTTAAGTCTAATTGAATGGTTTCATCTTTGCCAGTGTAGGGTATAATGATAATAAAAAAGAATTTTACTCAATGCATCTTGTTATCTTATATGTCACTGTTGGCTTAGAGTTGTACCTGTTTAACTAAATTAACATAATTAATGCACAATGGCTCAGTGGTTAGCACTGTCGTCTCACAGCAAAAAGGTTGACTCAATGGATTGAGTCCCGGCTGGGTCAGTTGGCGTTTCTGTGTGGAGTTTGCATGCTCTCCCTGTGTTGGCATGGGTTTCCTTCGTGTGCTCTGGTTTCCCCCACAAGTCCAAAAACATGTGGTACAGGTGAATTGGGTAGGCTAAATCCACTGTGGTGACGCCAGATTAATAAAGGCACTAAGCTATAAAGAAAATTAATGTATGAATGTGTGTGTGTGTGTGTGTAAATTTTGTGTTTTCCAGTATTGGGTTGCAGCTAGTAGGGCATCTGCTGTATAAAACATATGCTGGAATAGTTGCCAATTCACTCCACTGTGGCTACCCCTGATAAATAAGTGGCCGAAGAAAATGTAATGAATGAATGCTTGCATGTTGGATTCTGAAAGGCTAATACATAATTAATTTGCATTATTTATAAGTTGTCATAAGTTGTCGTCAGAAATTATAATATAATAAAATTAGAACTGCATTATAATATAATACAAAAGCGGGAATTTTGTTATATAAATTACAACTGCACATGGAAAATCAGTTTTATTATGGCAACATGCCATTCTCATGAAAATTTAAAATGTTTTTTTTTTTTTTCACAGAAGAGGTCTAGCCATGGTCTGGTGAAATTCTGGAAGACAGTACATGCATGATAGTGTTCCTTTTAATGACAACATCATAATCTTACATGCATTTTGGAGTAAACTGCATACGAATTTTCCCTAACCTTTACTTTAAATATAAAAATGCTTCCCAATTCTAATGTATGCAATAGACAGTAATAAGAACACAGCTCTTTCACAAATGCCCCACTGTACTGCTATGCTGGTGTAGAAGCTGAGTTTCAATTACCCCACATCAGTAACACTCTTGACCACCGCGGATCAAACATGTCCAAATATAATCTCTTCACTCACCACTGACCTTTGCAATAGAATATGATTGTGTGCATGTATGTGTGTGGGAGGTAGTGACAGTGAGTACTGAATGTGGTTAGTCTCAGCAGCCAGCCAGGTCTCTTGGTTATCTCAACTGGAAAATTCGCCGTGACATTCAGGCGATGTTTTTGAGGGTCTCGTCATAAGCACGTGCCCAAGAAAAGACTGCAAAAATATATTTGAATCAAGGCTATATGTAAATCCATACATACCCAAATATATATATATATATATATATATATATATATATATATATATTTTTAATGCATGGGTTTCTTTTGTTTTATTTATTTCTTTATTTTTTGTCATTTTAAGTTCCCTGTCCGATCTAAAACAAATGTATCTAAAATTGCAGCAACAGCATACAATTCTCCAGATGTTTTAGTAACAATTTCTAAAAAATAAAACAGAAATGTATTATATTATATTATATTATATTATATTATATTATATTATATTATATTATATTATATTATATTATATTATATTTTTTATTTTATTTTCAGTCCCTTTATTAATCCGGGGTCGCCACAGCGGAATGAATCACCAACTTATCCAGCATGTTTGACGCAGCAGATGCCCTTTCCAGCTGCAACCCATCTCTGGGAAACATCAATACACACTCATACACTATTGCCAATTTAGCCTACCCAATTCACGTGAAACGCATGACTTTGGACTGTGTGGGAAACCGGAGCACCCAGAGGAAACTTACGCGAACGCGGGGAGAACATGCAAACTCCACACAGAAACGCCAACTGACCCAGCCAAGGCTTGAACCAGGGACCTTCTTGCTGTGAGGCGACAGCACTACCTACTGCGCCACAGCATCACCCTATATTATATTCTAAAAATAATATTACATTATTATACCACAATAATAAATTAAATAAAATTAAGATATAACTTTCATAATCTAGTTTTGGTCAGTCTTTGAATCGTCAGTGTTAGATAGTCTTTGATCTGGGGGCTGCAGATTGCTAACGGACTACATATCCGCCATTTATGGACTACAAGACCCAGTCATGCACCACACGGACGCACACAAACACGCACACACGGTTCCTGATCATGACTGATTGCATACACGCAGCTAGAGGATTGTCATAGACTGTTTACATGCTATAAAGAGCACAAACACACAAATTGTTGCTAAGTTTGTAAACTGTATAGTGAACATTACTTTGCGTTTTTCTTGCCTTGCCTTCCGTGTTTTTGAACCTTGCTTTGTTTTGTTTATGTTGCCTGCTGCCTGCCTGTACTGACCATCTTTTTGTTTATTGACCACAACTCTGGATTGCCCATATACATCTGTTTGCTTATGTGTTGACTGTTGCTTGCCTGACCATTCTCTGCATAATAAACCTGCATTTGGATCTGCACTACCCTTTGTCCAGCATCACTTCACTATTAAAGTCAGTAACTAAATAGTCAAATTAGCCATTGAATGAAACTGTCAATTTCGAAG